AAACCAGACGTCTTAATAACTGCAAAATGTGCTATTCGCCTTGAGCTTATACGCACTGTGGACAATATTGTGTTCTTTCCTTCCACATCGCGTAAAGAAGATCAAGAGTATTTAGCATTAGCTCAAAATACAACAATCAACCAGAATACTGAAATACTGGAACAACAACAAGAGGAGCAAGGAATGTATAGCAACTTGAGTTCTGAACATTTGTTCATGTTAACTGATTGTCTGTTGCGCGTTCATAATTATACCAAACAATATAATTACACATTATTGCAAAACATTCCACAGCGAAGTTACGGTTAGTAATAAATTACAAAAATCAATTCTTAATCATCATATTTTATTTATATTTATACTTCTATAGTTAATGACGATATATCAAATATGTTGACACAAGAAACTCAAAGTGTAGCTTGTGTATTAAGAATAGCACTGAAAGCTATATGTGATGAGTCACGACGTGTGCACTGGACACATGCACAAAATGTGGCTAGTACTGTTGTAAATGATTCTTTTCAGTATTATTTATCATTGAACAATCAGTACCACCGAACTTCGTGGAATCCTATTTTATTGCTCATATTTACAAAACTATACAAATTACCTGAAGACAAGGTACATTCAAATTATTTTAGCCCAATGTGATAGTATTTATAAAAATCAAACTTTAATTATTTACAGTTTGCTGTACAATCTTCTGCACACTATCCTCTGTTATGTGAAATGATAAGCATTGATTTAAAACCTGAACTGAAGACTGTCCTTGGTAGAATATTTTCACGCATTGGACCAGTTTTCAAAATTACGTAACAATACATTAGCCACAGAACTGTTACATATTTTATTATATTTTTAATCATTAATATGAGGTTATTGCTCACTTATTTATTATAGTCTTGTAATACAAAGATTATGTTCACCAGACCAACTTAACGGTCAATAGCACACACCCATTGATTACAACTATATAAAAATAAATAAAAACAAACTGTTTGTTTTTACTTGTATTACTATTTTCAATTATTTTTGTTAACTTTGCACATTATGAGTATATAAACATTGTGTCGAAGTGTATTATTATTTATTGTGTCACTTGTTTTTTCTAATGAATGTGATTATATTAAATGTAGGTGTAGTTTAATCCTTATGAGTTATTTTAATATCTATAGTTTTTTAATTATTGTATTATCTAAACTATTAGAATGTGCTGATACAACCGTCCCAAAATATAATATAATATATTTTTCATCTTGTGAATTTTATTTTATAAGAATTTCACTTTGTGAAAGTCACTGATTGTTTACTATGTGTCTTATTAAATGTTTGTTATATTTTATCTGTTATCGTATAATTTTATTTAAAAATGTTATCTACAATATAAAATTTTTTTTAATTTCTGACAGTTCACTCATTGAGCATAGCTATTATTTTAAGTTACACCTTACACATAGTTAGACCATGGTATGAGGAAAAAACAACCAAACAGATAATTGAACATAAATAATACAAATATTTAATTTTAGTATAATCACAGAATATAATCTATAAGTTTTATTATCAATAATTCAATGTTATTTTGGTCCTGGAGTGATGTTATGAAGTTTGAACTTAAATCCTTTGTTCTCAAAGCAGCCGGGTGTGAAGTAATTTTGTACATTAACCATTTATTTTAAGCATATGCAGGAGGGAAGTGCGCCTCCTGACATTTTGTAATTAGGTCACTACGTGTTTTAAAGTTTTCAAAAAAATGAATAAAGTATTCCACGTTATAAATAATGACCAAATTTACCTAACGTTTAACATTTTACATTTGCACCTTAAAAATCACCATTGTCCATTTTTAATAGGAGAAGTAGGCACCGATGTAACTTGATTCTATAACTAAAACCGTAAGGATCATTAATTTTAGAAGCGTACATTTTTTCGCCCAAATTACCTTTTTTACCCAAACTCAAAAAAGAGTGATTTGGTTATCGCCCATAGAAATATTATTCATAGTAAACGAAAAACCACTTTCGTTACCACTGTCTACTAATGTACATAATACAAAAAATGTAAATACTAATATTATTATATAACTTTAATGAAAATGTTCATACAAAATCACCGCCTATCATGCATTCATGCCATGGTTGAATATTATTCTTAATAAAGTTTAAACCGAAATGTATGTTAAAATTAGTTAAAATCAGAAGCCTGGAATTAAATTTTCACGCTTTTTGGCCCAATAAATAAAATTTTATTGATATTTATAGAAAAAAAATTGAAAATTGAAATACAAAAAACAAAACAAATCAAAATATTTTGAAAAATTTATCAAGAAGTATAGGAATTGATAAAATAAACATGATATAAATTTAAAGAGTTTACGGTTATTCGTTTTTGAAATACAATAAAATAAGAAAATCACTAGGTACATGAAAAATCGAGTGAATATCCAATGGGCAATGTTATAAATTATGAACTTCAAACGCTCATAAAAATTTAATTTTACTTTCTTATACACATTGGTTTTTGATAAAGGTAGATAACCTTTTAAGGAATCTTAGATTTAAAAAAAAAAACAATTTTAGAAATTTATACTCAAAATAATCTGCACATTTTACGCCTTTTGTCAAAATTCGAACTTTAAATGCTTATAAAAAAAATTGTGACTAGATTTTTCAAATGTCATTCTAACAATATACTAAGAGCCTTGCATTAAACTTTCAAGCTTTTTTACCTAACAAATAAAATTTTCTTAACATTTATGGAAAAAAAAAAAAAAATATGAAATATAATACTCCAAAATGAAAGTGTCGCTAATGGGTGGCTGCTTTCTCCAAACGTATCAAAATATGTATAATTTGAAGACCTTGGGGCAACAAGGAGACATGTTCTTTTTTTGAAATTTTTCAACAGACAAAAAAAACATTGTAAATTTAAAAAAATAAATTAAGATTTTTTAAAAAATAGTAGATTTTAGTTATAGGGTACATACAACATATGCTGTATAAAAGATAGTGCTCAACTTTTAATTATAAGTTAAGGAAGTAATAAAAACTTGTTTGGACATCTCTTGTTGTTGCACCGTAATGCAAATTTGCTTGGACATGCCTCGTTGATGCACCAAAATTAAATTTTTATTTAATATGTATTTTTCTGGACATATCTTGTTGTTGTGTTGGTGCAACAACATATTACAACCCCATATAAAACAGTCGGACATGTCTCATTATTACACCAATCGATGCAGATTTTTTTTTTTTATATTTTATGACGGGAAAAAGTGATTTTGGCCAAAACATGGACATGTCTCGTTGTTGCCCTAAAGTCTTCATTTATTATGATTGTTTCTCCTTGTGACTAATATGTCTTAATAACTGTACGTTATCTAAATTCACATTTACTCATTGTGCCATTGAGTACAGATTGTAAATTTCTTTAAAAAAAAAAAAATATGTCTACATATTTACTTTAAGCGAAATGATTAATGCAATGTAATTTGTCAAAAAATAGATATTTGCCATTATATTTTAAATATAATTTAATATTTTACTATTTTTTGATTAACTACCTTGTGTACCCGCTTATATTTTATAATTATATGTATTATATTTATTTATTTTTTGTATGCTTTTTTTTATATATATACATATTTCCTCCCCTTTTTTATGGGTTGGTACTGTAATCGTGACCTATACCTATAATATGTGAGAGTAACTGGTACATTTGGTTGAAGGCAATTTTGAACTTGTGCATTTTTAAATGCCGAAAACAGCCACTGGGGGCAATTGCCAATTGGTCAACTCCCAATTGCTCCCATTCCAGATAATATACAACAATATTCAACATATATATAATTATTAATATTATTACGGAGGTGTATTAAATGTCCAATGTCCATGATTGTCATATAGATATTAAAGAATAATAATATATATGAAGATTATAATATATTATTATCATTGTTAAGTGATAAGTGAGATCAATTTTCGTATTCGGGTATTCCAATTTCCAGCTGTTGTAGTTTTGAAAATGAAAATGTAGTGATTAGTGAATTATACTGAAACACCGAATTCAGTAAATTGTGGTCTAATGGTGTATCGCGGAATTTCGGAAGCAGCTCCACTTGTGTCACCACGTCATGACTAAAACCTGTCATCGATTGACGCATTCTTCGGATTGTTAATCTGGATTCTGGTTATTATCTTTGACGTTTTATCGGATACCGAATGTCGTGTCGGCTCGCCCAATTCCAATAATTCAATTTTAACAATTGCATAATATATTGATATCACAAATTCACAACTTGATAAATATACATATAACATAGGTAGTAACTATAAAAAAATACTAACTATAGAGTAAGAATTGTCTTCAACATGCTGAGCTTTCCCGCTCTATTAATTACTATTTAGTATTTACTATCCGTTAGGTACCTACTAATATCTTTGTGTGTAGGCGTCTAGCATTGATTTGTGTTGCGTATTCTGGTATAACATTCGTCTACTGGCTACCTACTAGCTAGAGCTAGACAGTTATCTTTACACCATGGACAGAATGAGTTATTGTACAAGATGTCTGACGCACCCTCATCCCCTTGTGAGGAATGCTATGATGCTGAGTGAGATTCTCTAAAAAAAAGTACGAATATACCTAGAACCTATGATAATATATAATTGTTATAATATGAGATAGTACCTATATTATATCTGAGTTTTAGAATATATGTTATGCACTGATACTCAATTGACCAACTTATTATTTTGTAAGAATGTTTTTCAAAATAATTGGAACCATCCAAACTGTATTAGATGCCTCCAACTGACATTATTCAATTGCCATATTTTATTACTTGGACTTTGTAGTATTTAACTTGTTTATATTTTTATAACATTTTAATATCATATTTATTGCTATATAGTATATTCAATAATATTCTATATCATTAATCAATTAATGTATATCTTTTATGATTATTCCATAGAAGCTTTTTAGATTCCATCTTCACAATGACATCAATGGAATATAGATTCAAACATTTAGTGTTTGACATACACCCTAAGAACCCTCCAGATTGGGACCGTCCTCTTTGTGTAATTGATCAGGGGATTGCGTGTAATGATGACTACTTGTTTAAATACAATCGCTATCGAAAGCATAAGTCTGAGGTCTTTATTAGAAATCTATAGATTATTACTGCTATATAATATATCAACAGTTTTATCTTACATTTTAGGAATTTGCTAATGAGACTCTGAAAAAATATAATTTTATTGCTGATCGTTGGGAAACAATAAAATGTAAGAATTTGCCTACATGTTTTAAGTTAACTTCAATTTTGCTGTCTGGAAATGTAATTATTATTCATGGCGGAAAAGACTTTGAGTACATTAATGAATACTCTTTTCAACTTTTCATCGGTATTTAATTTAGTTGTTTATTAACATTTAAAAATTTAATATATTACTTAATTCTAATTTTTATGTTTCATCCTGTAATATTTTGTACCTACTTAGGAAATTTATCGAAAAAAAATGAAAACAACTGTGTAGAATTTGAAGAGATTTGTTCTACAGATGGAATACCTATTACTGAATATGGTCAACCAGTTCATATTGATGGACAATTTATATACTCTCTCAATGGAACATCAGAACATAAAAATGAAATGGATGTTTACAGGCTTGATTTGTGTACTAAAAAATGGCAATTATTATGTCAAGCTCATGGTCAACACCCAAGAACTGATGAAAGTCTTAGACGTGAAGTGGCCTATTATGACAACCATTTGTACATGTTTGGTGGTGCTCATGTGATGATTCTACTAAAAAATATGTTTCTAGACACATTTGAAGTAAGTTCTAATTTATCAGCCTATTTCCAAAATGATCAAAAAATTAATATTGATTTTATGATTTTTAATTTTGTTATAATAATATATTGACTTAATTTTAGCTTTAAATAAATTTCCAAAAGTTATTATTTACAGTAATAAACATATCGTTTGTTGAATCAAAACGTATTATCTACATAAGTGTTTTCATGTAATACTTATTTAATAAAAAAATCTCAATTATTTAATTTTCAAATTTAAAACCATTTTAGTTTAATAAAAATAAAAATATATTTATGAATACAATCATAGAAATTATTTTTTAGAAATAACCAACCTTAATCTAAAACATATCTACATACAAAAATGGCAGGAGGGAAATAATAGTATAAGCAGGGATGGGCAAGATACTCAAAAATCAGTATCGAGATAGTAGATACTAGATACCTGGATTTGGAGTATCGAGATACTAGATACTCGATACTTGGCTCTAGAGTATCGCGATACTAGATACTCGATACTTGGCTTTGGACTATCGCGATACAAGATACTCGATACTCGATACTCAATACATTTTAATAAAATTAGTCACTGGATTTTTAAAAATTATGTTTATTATTGTGGGTATGGCCACTTCATTAAAAGGGCGCCTCACCCGCATGTGTTGTCACCGTCTTACACACATACGACATAGCAAATGTTCGTTGGCTAGTTTCAATATGATATTGTCAGTTTTTATATAAGAGTGAATTGACCTATTATCAAACTTTTAGGTAACAACATTATCTGTGTTCTCTCGTTGGTTTTTTATGATATTTTAATTTTTAAGTGAATTATGGGTATGTAAAGTATTCATATTCTAAAATGTTCATAACTCACTTAAAAATTAAAATATTATAAAAAACCAACGAGAGAACACAGATAATGTTGTTACCTAAAAATTTGATAGTAGGTTGATTCACTCTAATATCAAAACTGACAATACCCTATTGAAACTAGCAAACAAAAATTTGCCATGTCGTACGTGTGTAAGACTGAGACAACACATCCGGGTGAGACGTCCTCTTAAGTAATTAGAATGAAAAATAAAATAAAAAACATTGACACTTTCAGTAATAATAATACATTAGTCACTTTTCAAAAGTGGTTTCTGACTGGTAAAAATAATCGTAAACAATTAATTTTTCAAAGTATCGCGTTAATGTATCGAGTATCTTTCGATTAAATTAATTCATGAAATACTCGATACATTGACTAAAAATGTATCGTGATACAAGATACTCGATACTTCACATAATTGTATCGAAATACAAGATACAAGATACAAATGTATCTAAGATACGTATCTTAGATACTTGTATCGAAGATACTGCCCAACCCTGAGTATAAGTAATAAGTAACAATTTAGTATAATAGTGTAACTGGTGTAAGTCTTACAGTAGATTCCAAAACGATGCATAAATGTATATACCCGCTAATGGAAAAATTATAATAAATTAATAAAAATACAAATAGTACAGGTACAAAATTACAGTAGTTATAATTATTAGAATGGAAAAAAAATAAAGTATAACAATATAGTAAACTAATTTTTTAGTAGATTTCTTAAAAGTTTAATTAAAATTAGTTTGTGTTTAAATATTATACAATATTTAAAGTATTTAAAGCAATATTTACCAATATATATAAATGATACAGGTCAAACCAAAAAAAAAAACAACAAGTACTATAAGTAATTTTTATTGTTTTATTTTTAGACTTAACGATTAGAAATTGGAATCAATGAACTTAAAATTGCCGAATGGGATATTGGGGTCAATAATCTCTATTAAAAAAATATAAAATATTACATTGAAACAAATATAAATGTAATGATTATAAAAACAGACAAAAAAAAATTTATAACTTTTTAAAAGTCAAACAATAACAAAATATGTTTACCCACATTTATTTTTATTATTTAATATTAATATTTTAAATATTTGTAAAACAATGTTTATTCTAATAGTAACAACTACTGTATCCTTGAACCTTTACTATTTGTATTTTTTTAATTTTTTTTTTTGTGCCTCTGTTAAATGTTTTTGTATTTATACTTGATATAGGTTATATTCATAACTATGCAAACAACATTAAAATCAAATTCACCTATGTCTTTTAAAAATATATCAAATAGATCTATATCATTGACCACCAATAATTCTGCCTTATAAGATTCTAAAAAATTTGTATCTGTTCCTAAGTGTGTTTTGTTCCATTTGGCCCAGGGGCGTCATTTCAGTTTTTAATAGAGTGATGCAAGATTTTGACGAGCCCAAATGGGTAACTTATAAAACAACTGCTCTCTAGCACATATTAATATATTATGTTCCTTTTCCTTCATATAACACATAGGTTATAGGTATATACTTTGATACTACCAATTACTTTCAGGCACGTCCACACGTGCATCTAAATTTAAATATATTCCAATTATTAATTAGTAATTACCAATTTATCATTGTGACAATAATTTCTTAGTACCTACACAATATAATATTTGTCTATAAATATAGGCATGTTTTTGTGCTAATATAATATAATAGTTGTTTATAAAAAACTCCTCGGTCATTGGGCTGCTTTTAAAATCAGACAGAAAATTTTACATATTGTGTGTGGGCCCCCGAGTCAGAGTCCACAAATTTGTATCTACCTATGTTTAACTCGAATCTTGATTATGATAAAATTCTTGTTGTTGTAAATTAACATAAGCTTTTCAGCTGTCAGATTATTATGTTTATGTAAAAACAGGCCTTAGCCCTTAGATTAGTTTTTGATGAGATTTATGGGTGGTGGAGCAATAAAATGTTCCCAGTTGACATAATAACAAACCAGTATCAGAGTAATCCTTGTCTTAATTAGATATTTATTTATATATTTTAATAAATGTATGATACTTAGTTTTTTATGTACCTTTAATAATACATTTTTTTTCTAGGAAATACAAGTGTTTGACATATTAACTAATAAATGGCAATATTTTAAAACTTTGCCTGATCTCCAGAATTCATCATCTTCTTATCCTGCAGATCGTTGTTATTATGGATGGGCACAATGTGTGACCCAACCAGAATATGTATATATGAGTGGTGGTTCTGATAATTACAACTTTTTCTCAGATATATGGCGACTGAATCTTATTACTCTTCAGTGGTGTAATCTTATGCCATGTAAACTACCAAAATCCATGTTTCTGCATTCATCTACAGTTGTACCATCGGGTCGCATTTACTACTATAATGGAATAGTTAGTACTGATTCAATTGATATACATCAGAAAGATGACATACTGTGTGCATGGGTTAGAATCCCAAAGTTAAAGGCAATGTGTTGGGATGCCATGTTATACTATTTCAAAAATCAAATGTTAAAGTCGTCTCTAGAAGACTTAAAGAATTTGGGGTTACCATCAGAGTATTATGAGAGCATAAATAAAGCCAAAACTTTAGTATAAATACAATGTATACTTAAAATATTTTATTCATTTTCATCCTATTTTAAATGTAAATATATAATTTAATATTAATTTATTGTTTTAGACACTAATATCCAAGTATTATATATATATATGTATACAAAGTATATATTTATTTTGTGTATGTTATTAATTGTGTACTATTGTGTCAAATTAAATATTTGCATTCATCATATTTTTTTTATTTTTTATACATTATACTAATATAATATTGTTAGGTATTTATATTTATAGTTAGTATAAATAAAATTAATACCTAATTCATAGAATAACTGCATAATCTATTATAAAATATTAATAAAAAAAAAAGGCATTCTTAATAATAGTGGTTTTCTTCAGTGACGTATACAAAAGGAAGATGTAAGGTCGGACCCCCCAATAGGCTTTTTTTTAATTTTCATTTCGTCACATCCAACAGACTGCACTCTATTACACTAATGACTTATAAGTAATCAATAATCATACATTAATTATATAAGAATAAATTGTTACCACCTGACCACAACGCTGCAACGATGATGCATGTCCGTGCGGCTAATAATACTTTCCTACATTAGAAAAAGTTTTAAGAAATAATAATAGAAATCACGGATTGAGTTTATACTATAAATTTATCAATAATGTATTACCATTGACAATGGACATACCTATCAAATACAAATTCCTATTAGTGCTGAAGTAGTTTTGATGAAAAAATAAGGAAATTACATTTTGTAATTTAATTGTTTAATTTAGGGGTGTCATTTAGAATTTTTGAAAGGTATACTAACAACTAAGAAGGCCAAAACAATTTTTATTTTTTATTTTTTTTCGATAATTTCACCTTATTCTTGATTTAGTATTTTCCAGTAAAAAAATCTGTTCAAGTTATACAGTCTCCTGACACTAATTCCTCGTGACACATCCTACGCTACACTGTCCATTTCCTGTTCATTAGTTCATTCCACTCAGTTACTCCTATGCTACATACCAAACATTCTTTTCATGTTTTAAGATTTTATTCAGCTTACAGAGCTGATTATGATTTATGTAAGTACCTATTGCTGAAGATTTAGGAAAAATTAATTCGGATAACATGGTAGGTATCACTCTTGTTAAGCCTTTAAGAGTAACAGCAGAAAAATCAGCTAAATTGCTTTAGGAAAAACTTTTAGAAACTATTCACCGACAGGTGCTGTTTTAAAGTTGCGTATATTTTGCAAATTAATACTCCCACAATGATTCTCAACGAATTTAATGGACCTTTTATTAAAGAAATAGCAGGCTCATAAAACGTACCAAAACTTAAGGTACAGAACTTAAGGTACCTAGTGCTAATAGATATTTTATTTTATCATAGAATAATTAATTAATTGAAACGTCTGTATTAAAATTATATGCCTTATTAAATTTATTTCCAGGAGGGGTACCTCCCACACCCACCCAAAATTATGTACCCTGGACCATGCCTGTTTGGACGTAGGTAGTCTATTTGGCTCCTGTCGAAAAAGTTTTTACGAACAGGTAAATCCCCGAACGGCACCGATTTTTTATTACACAAATTCCTTCCCACTTCATACAGACTTAGGACTGTCTATTAAAGTATCTGTGGTTAAAAATGTGTTGGCTTTTTTTCCCCGATTATATTCTAAGTAAATTATAAAAAATCAAAAATTGTGAATTAAATGTTATTGAAATAATATTACATTTTATCGTTAAAAATAATATTTTCGGTATTCATTTTTAAAAATTGATTTTAAATTTAAGTTTAGATTATACTTTTATACAACGGGATACAGTCAGGGGCGGACTGGCTAAGGCGGCGAGTGGGCTATCCCCGCTTGGGCCGGTAAAATTTTGGGCTGCTTAATCTATTTTGGGCCGATAAAATTAAAACTGAATAAACGTAAAAATTGTATACGTAGACAAAGAAATAATAATATTAGTTTAAAATTATAGAATAATTCTAATTCAAATTCTGATAAGTTTAATCGAGAAACACGATATAAAGCTATTACATTAAAGGACTCTTTTTTAAAATATAGTTTTGTCATGACATCACAATTATAGGTACTTACGAATATTTGAGCGTATTTCACCATTGTCCAAGTATTTGCAAACAAGTGGAATGGACTTAGTTCAAGCATATATGATGGTTTCTAGTACCTACTATAACATACTTACAAGAAATATCTAGAGATTTTCAAAGAGTAAAAGAAGCTACTGATTCATTTATAGTATGGGCAGAAAAAGAGTTGGAAGAAGTAGATTGTGACGAAATTCTTGAATCACAGTTCCCAGATGAAAGTTCAGTTCGTCGTAAAATTAAAAAAAAAATGGCAGGTGAGGTATCAAGAGACCAACTTACAATAAATCCACTTGAAAAATACAAAATAACTGTACACAATATAGTTTTGGACACAATTATCAATAAACATAATGAACGATTTACAAAACATGGCTCATTATACTCAGATTTATCTCTTTTAGATCCAACCAATTTTAAAGATATAAAAAAAGTAAATGTATGTTTAGTTAAGTATTTATAGTTTTTCAAAAGCAATTTTTAAATAATTATGTAGTTTTCATATTATTATAAACTTTTAAATACTTTTTTATGTGTACCTTTGGCTTATCATTTGCATTTCTTTACTGAATAAATTAATAATAATAAAATAGTATTTTTTTTTAATTTTGGGCCGAATATTCTGCTTCCCCGGGGCCGATTTTTATTCCCAGTCCGCCCCTGGATACAGTATTACGCCGTTTGAGAATTTACTTGTTCGTAAAAACTTTTTCTACGAGAGGTCGGATGTCGGGAGGCGTATTAGGAAACCCAGGACTCCACGCAGAGCGTCTTATGTATACCACGTTCTCATTGGCCCACTTTTTTTTTTATCATTTATCAAATAATTTAATTAAATTTAATAATATAATATTTATTTAAATATTATATTATATTATTTAATTTAAACAAATTAAAATAACTATTTAGTAGGAAAAGGTAATCAACTAATATTAAACAATATTATTATGTTATTATAATTCAATAAATTAATGTAGAATGTGATCTCTATTCTCTACACAGTTATTTTTATTTTTTACTTTAGTAGGTAGGTACCTATACCTACCTCAGAGTGAACATTTCTTACTGGACTAAGTGTATTTTACTTGTAGGTACACACCTTTTGTGTTAGCTAAAAAGATTGTCTAGGTTCTTCCTAACATAGAAACAAAATACCAATCTTACTTAAATGTTTTATTTTTACTAAAACATAAGATTCTTAATTAAAATAGGTAGGTACCTTACTAAAATGTCATGCTCTAACATTAATATATGTATTGTATTTTTAATAAAGACATAACTATTTTTAGAGGAACGAATTGAACTAGTGTTCAATGATTATTTTAATAATATATGGAATGGTAGCTACTATGAAGCTAACGGTTTAAAAATCCAATTAAAGAAATTGTTGTAAATTCACATGAATGGTGCAAAAACAATTTTGGACGTCTAGTTTGGTAGTCTAGTTCATCGATGACTGAAAAGCCCTGTTATTATTTTCAATTTTATATTTGTAGGTACACTACATTACTACCTACATCAGCAGTGGTTTATAAATAATATTATTTTACACATTTATAATTAAACTAATTCAACCTTTTTAAAATGTTATGCAAGTATTAAGTAAACAAATATTAAGGTAGGTAAAAAATCATACATACATGTCTACCTACATAGTCAGAGGTAGGTAGGGGTTACACGATCATTGAAAATATATAAATATTAGACAAAAAAAAAAAAAAATTACAAACATTTAAAACTGTGAACATATTTTAAAGTATTTTTTTTTTACTATGATGACCACCTCGCATGTTAAATTTCTGTCAGTTGGGCTCTGAATGTGATTTAATTGTCCTGAATGTACAACATGACTCTCTAAATAACAAAAATTTACTAACAAAATTCAAAAATTTGACCTACCCGATAATACTTTATAGGTGTTACTAGTTCCTATATAGATTATAATGACAATTATTTTAAAATATACCATTCAATTTTATTTGCATGAACTTTTAGTAAGGTTTTTTACCAAATGTTTATAATTTGGAATGATTTTCAAATGATTTTTTGTCTGTTGTGAGTTATTTAAAAATATTTGAAATGTTCGATTTTTTTTTTATGTTGACAACAATTTTGGTTGTGAGTATAAATGTTGAAAATGTATTTCAAAGTTTCTTTTAAGGTCTTACCACAATATCAAAGAATAAAATATATTCCAATCATAAACTTCTAAAAAGGGGTCTGGTAGAAAATCGAATCCAGCTTATACTTTGAGGTGCAATACTTGATATTTATCAGTACTTTTTATGATCAGAAACAAATTTACCGAAATCTGTTAAAATAAGGTTATTTTAATATGCTGATAGTCTCCGCTCAAGGCTCTTTTTTTTATTCAATTATTTGTCGTTCAACTAAAAAAAAGGTGGGCAAGTGGGTGCCGCTCTGCTGTGCAGTAGGTTACAAGTGGGTCACTGTATAATGGATGATATTAAATTTGAATTCAACGATATAATATCATTCAATCATTGTATAAGAAAAACGATTCTGAGAGGAGACGGTATGTCAGTCTAGGTATAAGACTTATTATATACAGGGTGTCCCGTGAGGATTTACTCATTAGCCGTAGAGGGGGACTCGCCGCCCAGACAAAAACCAGTTTATTGACGTTTTACTAATAAACTAAAAAAATTATTAAAAATCATGAGATTAATGAAAATAAAATGTTAAAAGCTCAAAATGTTCACAAAAATATACTCTATAGAATGGCTATCTTCAATTTTTTCAAAAATAAAAAAATAAAAAAATAATTTTTTTAACTTTTTTACTAAAAAATTTAATTTAATTAAAAAATAAAATATTTGTAGTGCTTACCTCTGCGAGTCTTAATAAAAAAACATAATTACGATATCTCCATTATTGCAGGAGATATCGCAAT